GAGCCAGAGACCCGCCCAATAGCTCTTCCATCACCTTGAGCCCTAAAGACCCAGGCTGACGCGAGCTCGGATCCTCGATCCTCTGAATTCCTGGCCTTCCTTGTAGCCACATCCTTCAGGGCTGCTCCCAGCCGCAGTATGTGCACCTGCAGCATGCTTTCCACATCGTCGAAGAGACCGAAAACCGGAGGTGCCAAAACAACTCCCTCGCCCTCAGCCCCTTCGAGGGCCTGTTCCACAGCTGCCACCAGCGTCAGGACGTCCTGATCCAGATAATCCCTGGCCGCGCTTTGAGCTAGGAGCAAAAAGGGCGGCCAGCATTTGTCCACACGTTCCGCTGCGCCTCCAAAGACTTTGCTCACGAAACCGTCCTCAGCGTACCCGAAATCCGGAGGCACCGTTTCGCTGGCGTACCGAGCAGGCGCCCGGGCCGCCGGAGCGTCCCGCGTCGCTATCCGCGGCATCGCGGGCGCGCTGCCCGGTAGTTGACCTCGCCGACTAGCATAATCCCGCTCATACTCGGCCACTGTATAGACTTGCTCGTGATGGAACAAATTTGCCGCCGGGCCGCGTTGCCCATCATCAAACCGACCTGCCACCGGGTAGGTCCCATCAAAGTTGCGCTGCCCGGTGACAACCCCCACGCCAAACACATCGTTCGCCAGCTTAATCCGCACGTCAGTTCCCTCGCCCATGCCCGGCGAAGCCGCTATCAACATCCTTGGTTGCGCCGCGGTCGCTGCCGGGGACGCCGGGGCGGACTCCTCCCCGGAGGATTCGTCCCCCCCTCCAGTTGCCTCTGCGTCGGGCGCCGCGGCCGGGCCCGCCACGCCCGCAGCCGCGCCCGTCGTTAAGGCATTAGACCCTGCTGCCGGCGGCACGCCCGCCGTCTGACCCCCTGACCCTCGCTCCGGCGGGCCGCGCGGCGACAGGCAGTTGAGCGCATGCTCGCGTCGCCCATCCTCAGGCCTGGGGCTCCTTGGGCTTCTTGTCGAAGAGGACCCAGTTCGGAGCCCCCCAAAGTTAACAGGCACAGGCGTCCCATCCCAGGCGGACGGGGTGGCGCCGGTTCTTGCCGGCCTGGATGGCCTCCATGGGGCTTTTGCAGGGGCGGCTCGGCTGGCATTCGGACTTGTCGTCGTAGGGCCAGGCGGCGGGGCTGAGGTCGGTGAGGAGCTCGAAGGTCTTGCTGTGCTTGGTGCCGCACATCTTGCACATAGACACCTGGGGGAGTCGCTGTCGGGTTCGAGCGTTTCGAGAAGGGACGCCGGGTCGCGCTTTCGTGCGCCGAAGGCCCAAGTCGATAAAATCTTGGAACCAGGGCTTGGTGTGGACGATGCCTGAGGGATGCTCGAAAGAAAATGTGACGCTGGGGCTTTCGCTCGCGCCTGATTTCTATTATGTGTTTTTGCATTGCGAAGGCGCAGGTCTCCGCGATGTACACGGTGCGCTTCGCCTTGTCCGAGAGGCCCTTGGCGACTGCCTTGGGGCCGTAGGTCCTACGATACGCATGTTTTGCGTGGCTTTCGCCAGGGGGGTTCGCGGGGTACCTCGGCGAACCGAGCCAGGCGGCGGCCGGAGGCCGCCCCCTAGCCGTCGCGGGTCGGACGTCCTGGGTCAGCTCCGGGACAAGCACCTGCCGAGGCACGGCGCGCTCCCCGAGCTCGCGCACCTCGACGACGCCGTCGACTTCGACCTGGACCTGCGCGAGACGTACCGCATGCTCCCGCGGCGGTCCGGCACGGGCCCGGACATGCTCCCGAACGAGCACCTGACGCTCGTCACGCGCGGCTACCCGGGCAACGTCGAGGCGACGGCGACCATGGCGCTCGTCAACCGCTTCGAGTCCGACCGCGTGAACGTCAAGCTGCCGGCCTGGCTCTACTGGATCGACGCCGCCGTGAGCCTCCTGGCGCTCGTCAAGATGCTGGGAGTGGGCACCGCGGCGCCGGACGTGCGGCCCCTCGGCCTCGGCGGCACGCGGCGCCGCGCGTCCACGACCCTGGTGGTCAAGATCGTCGCCGCGGAGATGGCGGAGAAGCTCTACCCGGTCCAGATCTCGGTGGGCGTCCCGAGCGGCGCCCACGCCCTGGTCTTCGGAGTGCGGGCCATGACGGAGAAGACGCCGGACTTCGTCTACGTCAAGATCGACAGGCGAAACGCCTACAACCAGGTGCACCGCGCGTCGATCATGGACGCGCTCAACAGCGACCCGGGACTGGCGGCCTACGCCCGCTTCCGGCACGCGTACTACTCGCGCGACGCGCCCATCGTCATCGACGGGCGCATCGCCGTCTTCGCGTCCTGCGAGGGCGTC